TGATTGGCAATGGCAGTGAGGGATGGTTACAAAAAGTAGATACCATTTTGCTTGTGACAGAACTTAATACTGCAGATAAACTGAGAAGAGTTTGTTTGTTACTGCATTTAGATGAACTAAGCACTAGGAACGAGAGTTTAAGTATTTGTATGCATTTTGTTTGATCAGTAAGTATGCAAAGATAAGGAATTAAGATGTGGTGTTTTTGAAAGAAACATAAGACATTAGTGAGTTCATTCTGTATTGGAAGACCTGGCCTAAAAGAAAAAGGTTAGCTGCTCTAAAGACCTTGCATTGCCATCTAAGTTATTTGGAGAAGATTAGCACTTCTCAAAAGATGTCTACAGTTCCAAGGTCAACAGCTAACTAGTTATTAGGGTACATCAACTAACATGGTTTGAATTTATTCCATTATTTCAGAGAATCTAAAAAACGTGGAGCAGCTTCTTTTCAGGAAGAGGGAATCAAAGGGTAAATTTCAAGTAGAAGCAGAGATTGCAGTGTATACAGGTTTAAAATGGGATAGTCCTTGCATCATCTTCTTGCAAGAATTTCTGAGAACAGATGAATAACAACAAAAATGTCACTTGGCTTTTACTTTAATGAAGCCTAAAGAAAACAGAGACTTGAATTTTTGCTGTGTCACAATCACAGTAATGGTTGGTGCCTCCCAACCTTATGTATACTCATAGTTTCTAAAAGAGTAAATGTGAAACCCAAAGACTCTTTTAGTGAAGAAAATAATAACGTTGGCCATCACCTTGATGGAGGCTAGAGCAGACATTTGTTCCTTTGTTTTAAGAGGAGATGGAACATAAATAAAAAAGAAAAAAAACAACAACACAGAAGTTGGTTTATATCCCAGAAGATTTCAAATTGGACGTAATTTTTTTGCTTAAAATAGATTGATAATAAAAGATTCCTAGATTCCATAGATAAAAACGAAGACAGGAAGGTATGTCATCAGTTTGTGAGTATCAACAGACAGATGAAACATGTTTTAATCCTCTTCTTTTGCATTCATGCCTGATGATCAGCTTCTCAGTGTGATTTATGATGCCAAGAATCCAGACCATTCTGTCTTAGGTAAGGACCACCTTCTCCTTTTCAAGTCACTCACTGCAACTCCACTATCATCAACAGGAAGTTTTGGCATGTAGTTAGGTTACTAGTTGAATTTGTTACTTCATGAAATAATAAAAAGTTGCTAGAAATGTGAAGAGTCCATATGTAAGCAGTCAGAAAATGAACCTTATTGTCACTTCTTCATTTGTAGCTGTTCCCTTTTGAGTTCTCTGAGACTGATCTTCTTGAGTCTGAAAAGCAACTAATGGTTTTGAGCGCTTTAACGGAGCATTGGCAGAATAGGAAGAGTTTGGAGGATATACACATTTCCAGCCCAACAAATGGGATATACACATTCCCAGTACAACAAATTCTTCAGCCCTTTCAGGCAGCAAAGTTTGTCTAGATTTGTATCCATGAAACAGTGACATTTGGTGCAGCTTGGAGATTATTTAGCTTCCTTTCACCTGAAGTCATTTTAGCTCTTGGACTCCATTTAATTGCAGCATTGTTTAGAGTTACAAGGATTTGTCATAACTCTGTCCTCTTGCCTTTGGAATAAGATAGATTGTTATGAGTTATGCAGGAAAAAAAGTCTGTCACTCCACCTACATAGGACAATTTCTGGATATATGCAGATTACTCTGTCAAATTACTCAGATTTCTGTTATGCTGTGATGGGTTACTTCATTTGCTGCAGTCCATAATTATGAAATGAAAGGGTCAAGATGTGTTAGCTTTGACTTTTGCTTTCCTGACTTTTTTGACTTTGAGGTAGTCATTTAGGGCTTCTTAGTATATTATCTGAAGACTGTCTGTGGAAGTGTCTGTTCTCATTAGCTATTTCATCCTATACTGAATCTCCATTACACTAACAATAATAAATATCTTTTTTTTACACTTGCATAGTGTTTTCAGAGCACTGCAAAATACTGAATGGACCTCACGCCACTTTAATTTGTCAGCCCAAGCTATTTAGCTCCCTCACAGTTATCACAGATATTTTTACTTTTACGTAAAGGAGAATAGCAGAAATATCTATTCAGTTGGGAAATTATGATAGTTTACAGTCACCACCATTTTAAAATGCTTTTCTGGAGCTACATATTAAATATCTATTGTTAAGAAATAAATGAAATTCTACAGTGTGCTTCAGGATAGAAGAAGTTGAGTAGAGTGCTATCTACCTTTCAAAAATAACTTTTGGGGACAAAATATTAATAAAATCAGAGTCAATTTTTCATATATTAGTACCTGATCTCTTCAGAAATGGCTGAATAGAGAATTCCCAATAATTTCAGAGTGTCATGTTTCCCATTGCTGTACATGTATTTTACAATAACCTGTGAGCATGGCAATAAAATTTATTGCTTGCCAATAACTATGCACCAGCTCCCTAATATTGGAGAATATTTGATACAATTGCCTGTGGTTACTAATATTTCTCCCTTCAAGCTGTATTACTCAACATTAACAAACACATCATAATCAACCTGTATGTCTTTCAAAACATGGTGATGATACATTTGTATTCAAACATGATTGCGTGTTCTAGGCTGGATGGATACATTGCTTACATATAACATAATCTCACATCTGTCTTGTGCATGCATATATATAGTTAGTATGATGATGAAGAAGGGAAGAGTTTCTCATTTTATTAAATAAGGAGACTGTGTTGATTCTGCATCATAAAAAGAAGACTATTAATGTCTATGACAACTTCTTTTTGCTTTTTTGACATCTCCCTTTCCTCAGCTGAAGTTGCTCCTCAAAGTTACATAGAGCTAAACCCCCTCCCTGCCTTTTGTTCCCATGGGTATTTCTGTTAGTGTAGAATGACTGCAAAATGAAGTGAAAATCCAAATCTCACCATGGCTGGAAAAGTGAGGCCAAGATTTTCTGAAGTAAAAGAAAGTAAATCTTGGTTCTCACGAGTTAAACTGATGTTCATCAAAAATATCACAAATAATTAGTGCAGCAAGCGACTATTAAATTGAAATTAGGCCTAATAGTGATTTTTGGTACACTCTGTTTCTTCAGTACATAAGCTACACCTCTGATTAATGCAGAGTTTGCTTGCACTTTTTCATAAAAAAATGAATTTATAACATAATTTATATTTTTATCAGTTTAATTTTTAAATTATTAATGATTGTGATTGTCTGCACTTGATCTGCAGTAATCTTTGCTCAAGCAAAAAATAAGAGATTAGTTTTTCTGTATTGTTTTTTTTGTTTTACAGGGATCTTTCCATGTAATAATCTACTAGCTCTCAAATTGCCAATGTCCAGTAATCAGTCAAGATATTGCTTGGACTAAAGACATAAACAATACTATAGATTCAATTATATATAAAAAATTATTTAATGGATTAGCTGGTTTTTTGCACACTCTGGCCGCAATGCAGTGTAGTCTGTTGCTACATATTTCATAAACCTCTAACTCTTTTAATTAATTTCACATAGACTGAATAGAAACCAGAGTTTTCCATTTATAGAAAAGTCTGCTGCTTTGAAATGTATGAGTCCAATGGAAAATAAGCAGTATATACATTTATCTGAGAGCAAAGCAATGGTAGAATGATAGTTTAATATAAACTGAAATATTTGTTTTCTTTTAACAGCTTTTTGGAAGAGCTAAAAAATAAAAGTGGCTCAATTTCAGGGAAGGAGAACTGAATGTAACTTTTAAACAAGCTTAAAAAAATGTATACAGAGATAAAATAGTGGTAGCACATACACCAGCTTTTCCAGGAGCAATACAACCAATATGAATAATCATATTGTTCCAATTTGTAATGAAATGTATTTTCCTTATAAAAAAGTTTTTCTAATAGTATGCCTGTAAGATGAAAGTGATTTCACAGCAGATGTACTATTAAATTTATGGTATTCATAGTTTTTTATTTAATAACACACTAGCAGAAAAATGATGTATCAGAGCTAATTAGGTTATTTTCCATTATATATTTTAAGGTATGTTGTGATTTCCTGCCTTACATTGGGCCCTTAGTGTAAATAGAAGTAACCCAGAAACCCTTCAACTTACACAGTTTGTTTTCCAGAGGATATTTGATCATTTTCAATGTCTCAATTTTTTATCCTGTCCATCTCTCTATTGCCATCATATAGTGCTGTACCTCCGGTATATTAATAAACCTTTGCATAACTGTGAATGTTACTGTATCAATGTAGAAAATGCAGACTGATATTGATAATAGGTTATTTATACAGTGCTGAACAAAATCCCCCAAACAAAATGTGTAGTATGTTTATTTCTACATGACAGAGAATGGTGGCATTTCCATTTTAACCCTTGTTTTAAAGCTGATGGTCAAGCACTTGCAGACGACAACAACACATTTTCTGACAAACCCTTGGTCCTTCTAAATCCTATACAACAGAGAAACTATGTGGTGTATCTAAGGTTTGCTTAGATTTAGAAGTCAAGTTCCTTATGAAAATAGGATTGATACCAAAAGTAAATTAATTTCATCAAATGTTGGAGATGCAAAAATTAGGTGACTGGTGCAAAATAATTTAGGAAGAAACACATCTGGATGAGTGTTTTATTTAATTTGTCATGCACAGCCATCTTAAAATGAAATGAGTCATTCACTGACATGACCCTCTCTCTCCACACACACTACAGGGAAAACTAAGCTTCGATTTGAGAGTTAGCCCTAGGTGGGTAAAACCAGTAGAGATAAAATCCACATACAGAAGTTTAAGTTTTTTTGCTTCTTCTGCTCAGAAATTCATTCTTCAGATTTTAGGAAGTAAGCAGATATCAAGAAGAATAGAACCAGAAAGAAGGAGGAATAACTGAGCACCACACTCTTCCTAGTCATAATTCCTGGTTACCTTGTTGATTTAGCCTCCTTTTACATGCTGGTAAGCAATCAAATGAAAGCTCAAAATGCTTTACCATACCTGATTGTGGACTTTGTTTGGGGATTTTGGCTGCTGCTTCGGGGCTGGAGGTGGCACGCACACGCTGATTGGCAGAATTGTGGATGCTACTTGGGACAGCTGCTGAGATGTTTTTACGAGGTTTCATGTCTTGCAACCACATTGGGGATGCCTCAAAGGCTTGCATTCGCCGAGAGTGGCTGTTAGCATTGACTTTGAGAAATGCCTGGGCCTTGTATTCCTGAAGGTCTCCATAGTTGGCATCGGTCACCCTGCACTCATACAAGCCTTCATCCTTTTTCCTCACTTTTGAAATCTGCAGCTTGTGGGAGATGTCATTCCCTTGTACTTTCACTGTCTGCAAATTTGCCAGGAAAAGAAAACAAAGAAACAAATATGTTGTCAGGAATTTTTCTTTCTCTACAAACTCTACTGACTCTACTGACATAGTGCCAAATTAATCAATGGTGTGATTGTGCTTTCTGCAGGGAGGTTACATCAAGGATGAGTATGGCTAATTGTGTCTATGAGGATGCCTAACATTTTCTTTCCAAATCTTCTTAGATGGTTTGCTCTGAAATATAATTAGCCTCAGACAAATAACCAAAACTACCATGCTCATTTCAATTAATTGCTTAAAATCATGAATATTCCTAATGAGCTTTCTTATGTAAAGCTGGTATCTGTGCACTTCTTTGGCTAAACCTTTCCGGTTAGTTGACTTGATTGAATAATTCAGTTTTTGAACTAGTGCATTAACAATTTTGTTGGAGATGTTTCCCAAGATTTAAGCTACATTAATAACTATTTATTAGATTAGTTTGTACTCTTCACTACATTGAAAATGTATATTTGACATTCAGTTTATCTCCTTAAGTGTATCCAAAGCCTTGGTATTTTTTGTCTGTTAATGATAACAAGACATCTTGTGTCAGGTAGTCCCTTTTGTCTCGTTTATATAAGTACGTAGTTATTGGAAGTTATATATCAGTACATATTCAAGATCGATTTAAGAGTTGTCAGCTGAAAAAAGACTCCTGTTTTGTTTTAATATTTGAAGGCAACATAACATATTTTTGTTTCAGATAATTAAAACACATGAGTAAGTTATACATTCAGAAATATGTGATAGTATTAAGATGCATTGGGAAAAGTTAACACAGGTTCCTTTCTGTATATTTATCACTTTAGAGAATTTATGTTTCATTAATGTTCTCTTACTCTCTATCCGAATTAACATCTGTTTCCCTACCAGAAGCCAGTTAAAATATGTTCAGTGGTCTCTAAAACTTCAACTTTGAAGACCTTCTGAACCTGGTTTACTTTCACTGTTACATAAACATGGATGTAAAGGTTGCTTTGTGTCATATCAATAACAGGAGATAAGGAAACATCAGGATGATGAATTCGTGGTAGTTAATAAAAGTTAGACTGAAGCTAGCACATGGTTGTTGGTGATTGTAGAACACATTGTTTCTGATAGCTTGGCATGTTGTAGTCACCAGTGTTGGCAAAGCACCTATTCTGCCCGCTTGATAAATTGAAGAGCAATACTTGTGAATATGTTATTGCTTTAAGGTGCTGGATGGACTTTATAGTCTGTTGTGTTGTACCCAGCTCTGAATTTATACTTGGCAAACTGAGTTGAAAGTATGGATTGCACACTTACAAGCATAATATGTGTGATATTAATTACACAGAAGGTGCTGGATAGTTATTTAAACCATATTCAATAACAATATATCTCTACTAAACAGTTCATGTTCAGCAAAAGTATTAAAGAAGTTTCATATGAATGGAAAGAGGATGCATAGGTCATATTTTGCCTTCATTTGCTTCCATACAATAGCCACAAAGTTAACAGTGTTGCATAGCACCGGTGAAAAACAAGATTGGTTTTGGCTTTTGCATTTGAAATTTAGAAATTGTTGCTGGCAGCACGTATGCATGTTTTCAGTTTGTCCCTGATTATCACTTAAAACTGATAAAGAGGTGTATTTTAGCAAACATTTAGTATATTTTAACATTTCTTTAAAGATTTTTCATGATGATAATTTACAGTAATACTAATGGAGACTGAGTATGTCTTCAGAAAAAAAAGAAAAAACAGCTACATTTGTAAAAAGTGGTTTTAGACATCTATGAAACATTAACTTTCTTTTTATTACAAATGTAAAATAAATGTTTTATGCAAGCTTATAGAAACACTATAAATACCCCATCATGAATTATTATCATAAGTAATGAAAGAGATTTGTTGCTTCAGAGATGAGACAAGCTTTAAAGCCTATATTGTGTTTCAGTTCTTATGGATTACTACAGAGATTTTAAAGGAGACAGTATTGATAAGTAATGAATTGTCTGCTAGTGGAATAGTATCCAAAGACTACATGTGGACCTCATTTGTAAGATAGTCTACAAAGGTAATTGAATACACAGTCCATGACACAAATTGTTTATAGTGTATGGTGTGAAGTATCATAGGAAATGTAAGTATGGCTAGAATAAGTATTGTTTTGAACATAGTGTATCTCAATTATCATTTATAAATGCCCTTCAGCTATACCTTGCTGCACTTCGACCTCATGTAATTATTTGGTTAGTTATTTGTAGGCATCAAAAGCAGCAGAGTAAAAGATTTAACAGAAATTATTCACCTCTATTTGTTGCTGTTTTAAGCCTTGGCTGTAGCTAAGAGGCACTTCCAAAGGGATTTTGCCGGAGAAAGGGAAAACCCCTCTGGGCTCATAGAGAATACTCATGCTGCAGTATCTGCTAAGTATCTGTGTCTTTCCACTGCAGTGAGCACCACACCATGACCCCACCACTATACATTTCTTGGGATGCCGAGGAAGGAGGATCTGATCTATTCTGAGGTCAGAAACAGCCCTGTGGCTGTGCCTGACTCAGGACATGGGTCTGCTGAGGAAGAGATCTTTTCCCTGGACAAGGGCTGGAGCAACGTTACTCATAATTCTGTTAAGACAACATTCTGGTTTAATCTCCAAACAGCAGATTGGTTACTCTGGTGTCAGAATCTTACTTTCTTAAAACAGAGTCTCAGGGACCAAGAGCGGAAATTACTCCCAAGAGGGAGGTCTTGACCAAAGTCTTTCTGAGATTTCTTTCTGCCAGAGGGCACGGCCCTGGGAAAGCACCCATTTAAGCAGCTGTACACCCCGCTGAAGGGGAGTGGAGCTTCACAGACAAATTTCAGCCTTAGAACCAACTTTGGAGTGCTAAGGCAGGTTCAGCAGTTACCCAGGGTAAATGAAAACATGAGGTACAAGGAAGGATTGGTGCACTGCTTCACAGAGTACAGAGTCTGTCAATGGTCTACTGCCTGTGCCATGCTGGCCAATGCCTCCATGCCTAGGGGTGTGGGGGGCTGCGTGGGGCAGGGATGTCTTAGCACCTTGCCTGGGTTGGCAAGGAAGAAGTCATAGAATCACAGAATCAATTATTTAAGTTGGAAAAGACCTCTAAGATCGTCAAGTCCAACCGTTGAGCTGCGGACTGCCAGCCTCCTGCAGCCTGCAGTGCGGATGGGGAGAAGATGCAGGGCAGGAACAGACTCGGCCCTCCGAGGGATGGGCTCTGACTGGGGAAGGGACCCCCGGTCGGCGACGCGGGGGGCTGCCCGCACCCTGCGGCGACACTTACGCTGATCTTCGTGCCGTCGCTGTCCAGATCCCGCTCGGGCAGGAGCTCCACCTGCAGGGAAAGGAGCGCCTCCGTGGGTCACCGGCCCCCGCCCCGCTCCGCGCCCCGCTCCGCGCCCCTCTCCCAACCCGCCGCGGAGCCCGTGGAGCGGTGCGCCGCGCCTGCCACCTGCGGGCCGCGCCGGGCACAGCCCGGGACAGCAGGAACAGCCGGGACAGCGGGGACAGCCGAGGCAGCCGGGATGCGTGGCCAAGGGGCGCTGCCCAGCGGACCCACCTCCCTCCCGGCTGGCGTGGGAGTCTTTTCGGGGCAGCTGAACGCCGAGACCGGTGAGGAGCGGGCAGCAAAGGCGGGGAAGAGCGCCCCAGATGGCAGTGTAAGTGGACATGGCCCCTCCTGTCCCGCTCGGAAGGATGAAGTTGCGCAGTTGTGTTATTTTGGGGTTTTTGCTTCTTCTGGGGCATTTGGTCCCTCCTGCTTTCCCCACCCCTGGCAAGCGTGCGCCCTCCTGTGGCAGCTACATCCGGCTGCCAACTCGACTGTGCTAGCTGTAAATTGGAGGGCATGTGTAGGATGTTGTCACTCGGGAAATAAAAAATTCCCACAGGGAGCAGTCTTTGAACAGCTGCTTTCCAAAGGAAAAATCTGAGAGAAGAAAAGGAAAAAAAAAAAAAAAGAAAAAGAAACAGAGAGGAAAATAATAAAAAAAATTAGACTTTGAAAAATCTGCATGGTTTTGTGAGCATCCCTAGCTGCATTCTGGGAGTGACAGGCACCAAAGGCACCATCCCTTGAGGTGGGCATTTTTGTCTGCAGGTTCCTGCATTGTTATTTCATGGTTAAAACTAAGTCCCTGGAGAGATATAGAACCTCTCTCTGGTCCTTCCTTCTGGTCTCCCTTTCTTTCCTTTCCCCCTTTCCTCTCCACCTCTTCTGTGGCATTTTCCAGGTGGTTTGAGGAATCTGTGGCGGAGGATTAGTACCTGAGTGCCTGTCACCTCAGCTCCAGCCTCTTGGTCCTCAGCTGCCCGCAGAAACCACCACTGGATTTCGAGGTACACCGAAGTGGAGCCACTTTGGAAAGCACAAGACATCTCCACATTCTGCCCTTCAGTGGCTGTGACATTTCGGGGAAACTCTGTGAATTTTGCTGCAAAACAAATGCATAATATGTTGGGATGTCTTGCTACCTACTGATTGTTTATGCTCTGGTTTTTGTGTTGCCTTTTTTATTGTTTCTCCTTCCCCCCCCCCCTTTTAATGTCACTGTTTATTTTTCTCATTCTCTCTCTTTTCTACTTTTTTTTTTTTTTTTTTCCAGTTGCCCACACAATATCTTCCCTGGTTTCTCTCACACCTAGATATGTTTTTACTCCCTTAGGCACAAATCCATTCTCTTTACACTCTCAGTTCTGCTCACAGGAAATACTATAGATCCCCCTTCTTGCACCCATGGACTAGTGAAGTTTCACATAATTAGGTCCGAATACCCTCGGGCAGAATGCAGTATTTCACCAGATTCACTGAGGGATTTTGTGCAAGACCAATTTAGGAGAGAAAAAAATATCGGACTGATTTTTTTTTATTTTGGAGGGCTGAGCTGGAAACCTATAAGTTGTTAAACCTTCTGCAGCCAGCTGAAGCAGCTGTTGGCAGGGGCAACTCTGGGCACTCTTCTGAGGTGCATGTTACAATCACTCATCAAATGTCCATTTCAAAGGCTTTGTCTGAATTAGTTACTGTTTCTGAGAACCTCTGCTTGCAAGGTTATGTATAAACAAACCAAAAATCAATTCATCTTCTGCTTCTCTGTCCTAGAAGACACTTTCTAGAACTAACCTTCACATTTCTATCCCAACCCTTTAACAAACCGAATCTGCCCATTTCAGCGTACCACTGCTAGGTTTAAAAGCTAATCCTGACAGATGTAGTCCAGGGCATCATTAATTGTTACTTCCTTCTCATCCTTTCCTATAACTCACTTTAAAATTTTGCAACATAATGAGTCATGATAGTCAAGTGAGGGGAACTACAGACAAACAGTGTAACAAATACATGCTGTATTTCAAGAAGAGGAAATTTGGAAAGACACTGCAATGTCGCTTTCTGTTATGCATTGTTAACAGATTGACTAGAGCATATTATGATGAGAAGGAAACGCGATGCAAAGGAAATATTGCTCCTTGTCTCCTCCCTCTTCCTCTCTATCCAATCTTCCTAGCCAAACTGGAATTGGTGGGATAATTTGGTAACCAGTGTTACTTCTCCTTCCCCTTTTATTTGTGCCTGGCAACACATACTTTCAAAGCTTCTATCTTCATATTTCACGGTGTCCCCTTTTCTGACCCCCACCCCCACTAGTCAGCGATTGCAAGTCACCGAGTTAAGCTGCCAAATGGACTGTGCATTATGCGTGTCCGAGGCTAGTAAGTTTGTTTTGAGGGGATTTTTTCTTGTTTGTTTGTTCTGTCCCCCTCCTGGTCAGTGCGCGTGAGCGGTGTGGGGGCACACGGAGGGGAATACAGACGCCATCCTCCCCAGTCGCACCGCCAAGCTGCTGGCACGGAAAGGCGGGCAGAGAGCAGGGGACGGCGGGCGGGGAGCGGTATGAGGGGGTACGAGGCGCAGGCACCGGGCGAGTCAGCGGGCAGCGGGCGCAGGGGGCGGCCGGGAGCGATCTGTCCATGGTGCTGACAGCGTCGCCGCAGCCTCGGGGTCCCGAACAACCGGCTCCTGCAGCGCCGGGGCTGCTTGAAATGCAAGGCGCGCCTTTCGGTGGAGAGGGAGGGAGGAAGGCGGCGGGGGTGGGGGGAGGTATTCAAAGAAGTCGATATTGTCTTTTTCTCCCATTTTTGATGGGGGTGGGGAATGGTAGAAATACACAGTCACAGAATCGAAACGAAGGTCTGACTCTGAGGGTTGCAGGATAATAAGAGAGGAAAGGGAAAACAGCACGAAAGGAGACTGCAACATCTTAAGGGAAGCAGTAGATTTAACCATCCAGTACTTGGTCTAAATGCAATAATTATGCATGCGCTGGGAGGTGTTTCTTGTACGCATACATGCCTATATACAAACCATCAGAACTCAAACACATGCATGTCCATTCCCCAAAACCCCTTTACTCTTCTGCAACATGCCTGTTATTTCCCTCTTTGCAGTCAAGTAAAGGAAGCCTGTTATATTTCTACTTTGGGGAAACTTCTCACTTCTTTTCCTATTTACAGGCAATTTTTTGAACTAAATGTAAACCTGATTCTTGTTGTCCTCATCTCTTATCCACTTTAGTTGTTTTTCTTCTTTCACCTTTCTTCCTTTCTTTTATCTTCCTCCCCCCCCCCCCCGGATCTCATTCTCAGTCTATTTTAGCATAGAAAACCACACATATGTATTTGACAATAAGGGATCTTACCTTGGGTAGAAAGTCCTTGTTGAATATACATAACTGAAAAGAAAATGAATCCAACATAAGCTAGAAAGATCCCCATCATTCCAAGATGAAGAAGTCACATCAGGGTAAAAAAAAAAGCCAAAAGTGCCCTCAAAAAAAAGAAAGAACTGATATATGAGTGTATGTACGTATCTCTAAATGTATGAACAGAAAGAAATTTCTAATGTTACAAAAAGGCTCTGTATTGTAGCCCTAGCTGCGACACTGGCAGCATTCTGCTACTCGATGGAGTCTTTTTCCTTGAGAAGAGCGAGTATTGCAATACAGTGTGGTTCAGATGAGCTGTCTCAGGCGCTGTGTTGCTTGAAGTCCAGACTCAGACTAAAAAAACACAAACCGTTGAAAAGTGGGTATCAGCTGCCTTCTGCGCCTTTTTTCAGCTACCTGGCAGCTTCGCCCAACGTCAGCTCTTGCTGCTCAGGATGTCGTGATGACTGCCCTCCCTACACACTGATCCAGTTTGGGAAGAGAGGAGTAGGGGAAAGAAGGGGGGGGAGGGGAGGAAAAAGAAGTCTACCGTGCTTGCATTGCTTCAACTTTTCCCTCTAATGGCTGCGATAATGTCTTTAACCCTTTCCTCTCCCTCCCCAGTCTCTACACCTCTCTACCTGTTCTGACTTCTGCTGGCTCTGATTCTGGGGTAAAGCTGATTCTGGGGGTTTTTTGTCCCTTTTTTTTTTTTTTTTTTTCCCCAGTACTGTACAGTTTATGATCGTAGAGAGAGAAGGGAGCCTTTATTGTACTGATGTAATCTTCGGTCTTACATCCCAAAACACTCAGTGGCTAAGAGGGCAATGCAGTGGTTTGATTTTTGGTGAGTTAAGCTGTTTCTGTTTTCTCCTTTTCCTCTCCCTTTTACAGGGTCTGAGGGGAAAATAGTTACTCAGTAATCCTATCGCACTCACTACTGCCTGCTCCAAATAACTGTGCTTCTAGCAAATTACACTAAAATGTTCTTCATTTTGTCTTCAAAGATAGATAAAGAGGAGGATGCTTAGAGTGTGTTTAGGTGGTATTATACAGATTTCTGCAGAAAAAATATTTAGCTAGATAAAAATGGATTTTGATATGTTACAGATTATTCATAGTAATATGTATATATATTTAGGTACACCAGAGAAGGTGTTTACAGCATATTAAAGAATGTTTCCTCCTGCAGTGAATGTTTTCTTCCCTGTTTCCTGTTTTCTGCCTATGTATGTTAATACTGTTTAGACAGTATTAAAGTAAGTGAGTAACCTTGACTGTGTTAGGTGATCAAAACATCCTGAAACACATCTGCACTGAGAGAAGTTCTCTGACTGAAGTCATCCTGCTGCTTGTAGTAAGAAGACATCTAGAAAGTGCTTGTTGCACGAAGCAATCACCAAATACCTTCTTAAGGCTGAGACAAAGACTAAATAGAAACTGAAAAGAGCACCTGATAATCTCTCAGACTGCCAAATATCTGAATGTAACTGCTAATCACAAACGGAAAAAAGCTACAAACCATACCGAATTAAGAGAATTTTGTCTTCATGGGCAATACGTTTTTCTGCAACAGAACAAGTTCTATCATTCTTGGCAATAGAAGTGCAGCAGTTCCACAATGGTATAAGATGCAACTTTCACCTTACTCACTGCACCAGCCAAATTATTGTATGCATACAAGACATCTGACATAGCTGCAGAGATCTCCTTCACAGGATTAATTCTAACTGACTGGAAAACAACCTTTTTGTCTACATTTTAATTTTTTTTCCTAATAATTGCATGAGTTTCCATCTTTATTTATGAAAATAAGGAAACCATTTCCCCATGGTAATAGCCTATTCCACTGTTGTCATATATAAAGCATAGCAATAATTCTGAGTCAAAAATTAGTAAAATAAATCAACTATCATAAATCAAATAGGAAAACAATTATGTTACCTGAAAGATTTCCTATTACCACGGAGTTTTAATTACTTCAAAGGAGGTCATGATGGATATATTCAAAACCAAAGAAAGCCTGTAAAACAAAAGAAAAGCCCTAGTCTTTAAAGGTGGTAGACCTGAATTATCTGAAATAGCCAAGAATTGTCAGTGATTCAGTGATTAAACACACACTGTAGAGATCTTTACAGGATCAGATGGTGAATGTTTCAATAATTTCTATAAAAGAAATCAGTTCCTTTTCAGATTGGTAGCCAAAATCCTAAGTCACTCCTTAAAATGAAGGCTGATTATAGGATTCACTTCAAATCCATGTACGTCATCAGTAATCAGTTGAAATTACAAATTAGAGACATAATATCACCAGCCAAGTTAAATGTAAATTAGACAGGAGGAAAAAGAATCTAAGCAGCATCACCTGTTTAGAGGGAAAGCAGAAAACCAAAGTAGATAACTTTTTTCTTTTTTATTTGCCTATTTCAATTCAAGACACTTGATAGGTAAATTTAATTTTATCAGTTTGTAATTTAGAAAGAAGAATATTTCTCCCAAGTACCCTGTAGTCAATGGAACTAATTAAAATTATATTACTCTCACAGGGCCATACAAAATTATATATGTGGTTATTAATATATTAGAATTGAGAATGTATTAGGAAATAGATTTAATGGAAAGAATTTTAAAACTTGGTTACATAGTTATTATTTTTATTTTATTTGTGTGCTGCAGCAAGCCATATGATTCTGTCAAATACTTTAAGCAGAAAGCAGAAATAACCCACCTCATGCTATCAATGTTAAATTTCACCCTGATGGATGTGAATCCTCCACAATCAACCATTCTGTATGAATCTGGGCAGTGAATGAGTCTAGTTACTTAGTGTGAAATCTCTGCCTTTTGTGCTTTAGAAAGAGTTTTGATGTAGCCTAACTTAAGCATGCTTTATGACATGAGTGATATGGTTTATGTGAGCTTTCTGATGCACTTTTTCTCCCTCTCAATGACTCTAATAGATGAGTCATCACTGGACATTCTCTCAGGTCATAGCCAGAACATTCATGCACGGGGAATATTTTCAAATATGCCAATGAAATGTAATAATAATAGAAGACTCATTTATGATACTGTGGATCTGAATTATGTAGATCTCCTTGTATCTTACAACTACTTCAGTACATGTTCCAGATCAAATGCTCCTTCAAAATCTTAAATGCCCATGCATGTTCACCATTCTGCCCAGCTTGCAGATCCTGGATCTATGCATCTGTTTTAATTATTAAGGAAAAAAGTGTTTATGGAGGTTATGATTCCAAGCTCAATAAAGGTTAGAAATGAAAGCTACTGTGCTGCTAGTCAGCAATAAGGTTGGAGTACTTTGGTCCCATAAAGACATGGACCAGTATGGGCTGCCTAGCCCTGCAAGAAGCTGATCAGCTGATGACTGAAACAATGACTGAGTGTTGTCATCCAAAAAGCTCAGTAAAAAATTAAAACAAAAAAGTTACTTTTTTAATACTTTTTAATATTTTGACTGATATTTTCAGTTTTCTTTTTGGTCATTATTTCAAATATTTCTTTACTATTAAAAGAGGAAATTTGTATTGTCTGATGAAGTTTGTAATTTTTAGAACTTAAAAAGGAGGTTGATTCTCTTTATTGAGGATTACTCTTTGGTTTTGTTAACCCAAGTGCTCGTTTGAGCCTCTCTCAGGATGTCACTGTTGCCTCTTGCAACTCCCCCTGTAATTTGAATCTGAGGAAAGAGAAGAAAGGCAAGAGAAAAAAAAGATTTGACAGAGATGAGGCACCAGTGAAAGGGTTGAAAGTTAGAAAATGTCAAAATGAAGTTTGTCCATCAGCTTAATTAATTCCTTTCATTTACAAGCAATTATGATGCACTTCGGATGAACCTCTCTTATTCTTGACTTTGGCTTATGCTTCACTCAGCAGTCAAAATTCTCTTAGTTTAAGAATGGCTTCTTACTCAGGCCCGGAAAATAAGGGATACCTTAGTATATAGTACTTATGCTTTACAAGTATTGAAAGAGAATGGATGCCTTCATCTCAGGGCAGCTAAGTTCCTGCTTGGAGAAGCAGAACCTCTCTTTGACTGCCAGAGGTCCTGGGGGATGCTCCACAGTCCCTTACATCACAGAGGGTGCTTAACAGTGTACTTCTCATTTCTGAATGCCTGCCTCAGGACCCTGATGGTTGAGATGAAGAAGCACTGAGCAGTCACAGCTGCAATTAAAGTGAATGGGTGCTGTGATTGAAGGTGCAGATTATTGTAAAATGTGACAAAACCCCACAATCTGGACCCTGGGTAGCTTAGCATTGATTGTTGTCTATGTGTCTCTGCTGCCTGTTTGTAAAGTGGAATATATTACTGTGTCACTTCGTAGAGGTCTTGTTAAGACAAATTAACCTTCAAGAAACTCTCAGAGATTTGCATGATGAGCATCATAGGGAAGCCCAGAAGAAAATGTATAATTCTGCCTTCAGCTCAAAGTTTGAGTGGTGTGCATGGGTGAGGCCTAGGGACACACACTGAACAATAAAAATAAACAAAATGTCAAAGACCTGCTGATTAATTGAATTCCATTCTTTACATACTCTTAATGAGGTGGGGTAAGATCTAGAAAAAATCCCTAAGTCATGGTGTATTTAAAAACCACGTGATTTTGCATATGAAGGGAGGCAGTTTAAGACTTGCTTTGCTGTCTTTGAGTACTTGATTTTGCAACTTAAAAAATGTTCTTTCAGTACACCTTTTTTCTTACAGCAGAACATTTTATGGCTCTCTACCATTGTCTCTCTCTACCATTAGGTAGCTGGGAAAAAAGACAACAGAACCTTAAAATGAGACTTTAGGCATCAATCCAAATGCTTTTTCCTGGTTTTCTCTTTGCTTTTATTAGAGAAAAGTTAAAAAAAAAAAAAGCTGTTTTAAGCGCAGTCTGTACCCTAGGTTTATGGAAAACAGGTGAAGCTAAACATACTATGCAGAAAACCTTGATAGTGCATTACTCTTCTTATGAACCTCTTCCTTTTTCTTGTCCTTTTTTTTTCCCAGTTGGTTCATAGCAAGAATAATGTAGAAGTATCTTTATAGTATGATAAATTCATTCTGATTTAAGCAAGTTTTTAAAAACTGGAGTTCCTTAATTTCTTAGTATCATATGATCAGATCTTTTTAGCAAACCAAACAAAAAATTGGATGTAGAAATGCTATTGTAGGATTTTATACTGTCTGAATTATGGGTATTGACTGCAGCTTTTCTGAATTCAGCCTTCACTGAAATCCCAGTTTTATTTCCCCCTTTTTCCTCTTGGTATCCTTGAGAGTGTTACAATACAATACAAATACAAATACAAATACAATAGTAGCTGAGGTGGTTTTTTGGAAGAAAGGCATATTGGAGGTCAGACAGTGACTGGGCTGTTTTCTCCATGTTATTCAGTGTGCTGTTACTGAGGGGCATGCTCACCATGTTCAAAAGAATGGGGAAGACTGGAGACAACTATCAAGCTGGTCAGACAGAAAACTTCATTTCTTTCTTTGAAGGCAAATAATATTCTGTCCATGAAAGAATTACTTTTTTTTTTTTTTAATGTGGAGTTGGCCCCAAAATTTGCTTGATTCCTTAAGATTTGTCAGTTTGATGAAGGAAAACTGTTC